TGGTTCTGCTTTTACAGACTGTAGCTCCAAGAACTTCAGAGTAACAGAAAATGCAGCACTAGTCCTGAATAGGATTGGGGTGGTACGACATTAAAAAGTTAGAAGGGATTAAGAATTAATTAGCCTTAGAGCAAAGATAAAGAGGACAAATTAGCGATTGCACAGGATCTTCAGCGATAATAGAGAATGCAGCATTGGTTCTAGGCAGTGGGACTGGGAAACCTCAAAATACTGGAGAATGCAGCATTTGCTCCAGGAACATTAGAGGTGTTTCAGAATACAGCTTCCTAAAAAGTCAGCACACTCTTTTACAATGCCTGTGTCAATGGAAGATGGTCTAGCATTATAACAGTAGGATATGGGCATGACAGGAACGAACAGTCTTCACTCATTTTCCTCTTGCTTTGCAGTCTTCTCCTCCACCAGCTGATGAGGTGACTTACGTTGACTTGAACTTCCACAAAAGGGATGTAAAACCGGAGGAAGAGGTTGTTTACACGGAAGTGAAGATACGTCCAAAACAGAGAGATGACAATGACATCTACGCAAAAGTCAACCCTCGTCATCGCTAGGGGAAGAGCTAGTGGGAATTAACGGAGGGGTAACCAGCATTTCACATGTCCATTAAATGCAAATCTCCATGGAGCAACGAATTAGCTCTTAGTAAAAGATGCCCTTGGAGATCAAAGTCCACTAGTTATGAACAGAGCAAGTAGCAGTGCAAGATTCCCTCGTTTCCTGCTCCACCAACATGCCTCAACTCTGATCTGGAGAGACCAATTCTGTGGGCAAACGGAGAGTCCTGTTAACCCATCTACTCTTGGTCTATGTGCTGCGATTGCAGCCAGGAAATGGGTTGTGCTGTGGACAGTGTTTCACTAGGAACTGAGTCGAGACCAGAAATTCATTTAACAAACTCACCAGCCATCGGATTATAGCAACTTTTAGTTGCTATTTACCAGCACTGTACTTGAACAAGTGACTGAGAGCCAAGCCCTTGAGCCACGAAGTATGGAAAATGTTGCCATCTTGCTGTGGGAAGCGCTGTCCTCCGCTCAAGATGCCAAATGTGCTGAATTAGAAAACTGGAGGATGTACAATAATGCTGATAAGGCTCAAGAGCAATGTCCCATACGTTCATGAATGACACTGACATGATTGTTGAATCTTTCTAAGCACAAAGTCGGCTTCTCTGTTGGGAGTGAATTCAGCTTCCCTGGATTCCACCCACTTAAGAACCAAACAACAACAATGTGAATTGCTTCGCCAGCAGATTTTAAATATTAACTAAAGCTTTTACAG